ATTTCACATATGTTGTCAGGCAAAAGGTTTAGATATTAAAATGGATCATTGTCAATGATAAAGTGTCATAAAACATGCTAGTTGCACTATTTAGTTGGCATGATTCCATGTTTTGTGTGTATTCTAGTCATCTTATTAACGTGATATATCAAATAAGTAAAAACTTTTGCTTTTGCGCAGTTAACCACATTAATGTCGTGTTTTTTCTATTAGGTTATTCGAATTTACTAAATGTACAACAAAGTTTCTAATTGCACAAAGGAAAGAATGTAAATGTGCAAGACTGTGAATTCCATGCACGACGTGCTTCATTTATTTATTGTTTTATATGGAAACCTATCCAAATCATACACAATATAGGTTCTGCAATTTTTTTATGACATTTAACATTAAACAATATTGCACTACCCTGGTGCATTATATGAATATAGACATTGAATGACGTCTACTACAGCATCATAGAAACTATTAGCTCATATAATTATGATATATAATAAAATGGCAAAATATAAAGCCGCCAAAATGTACTTTCACTCTCTTGTGTTGGTTCTCATCACTGCGTGGACAAGCACAATGGAACAATATATTAATGACTCGCAAATGAGTGTTACTAGATACTATTATATAGATCAGTTCATAGACAGATTTGGACAAGTAATAACTATGATGGCTGTCAACGTAATGCAATATGTATAAATCACATTATTAGTCCTTCAATGATTCACCACACACATGTCAGCGACGCAGGTAGCATGGTAGGCTACTGTGATAATCTTGTACGAGATAATAGTCTTCTAGTTCCTTTACTGGCGCACAGAGACGCACGGGCGTAGACGTTTCATCGAGAACAAAACACACACCTTTTCCGTGACTTGGTCAACAGAATGTGTAACACAACAGTTTCATGAAATATCAGCCCCTGCTACCTAATTATCTGGGAAGGTGATTGAAATTTGAATATAGAGTGAATATAAAATATGAGTGGAAACCTCTCTTTATGGAAACGTTCTTCTGAAAATCTAAGTTATATTTGCCTATGAAAGGTAAATCATAAACACATCATTTATTAAAGTTTTAAACAATAGATAAAGAAAAACAAAGAATTTAAATACCCAAAGTTACTCTTTGATTTCCTTAAATACAAAATCTGCACCATAAATTACAGCATCATCTACTAGGACAAAAATGACTGATCTGCAAAAAATAACTATTTTAGAAATCAGGTAAGCCAGTACTCCATATGAAACTGTAACAGAGGGCAACAGAAAAGAACGTCAGGAAGAGTACAATCATGTTACCAACGGAGCCATCACTAGATCACGCGCCAACTGATATTAGTGCGGAGAAAAAAACACACAAAATTCTTTCTTCGTCTAAAGCAATCCAATTCAAAAAGATCGCAAATATCTTTGTTAATTAATAGTTCCCATAGAGAAGTGTCCGATCGAAAGAAAATTCAAACAGACAAACAGCTCATCCGCAACTGGCGACCAATTACCCTGCTTGATCCAGAATATAAAACTTCATCAAAATGTATTGCTCAATTTGTTCCACTGTCTACTTCACTGTCTTCTTTTTATAAGTTATACAGTCGGTCAAAGTTTCATATGTTTCAGAAGCAAACTCAGTCAGTAAAAAAAAAACTCATAAATGACAGGAGTTTATGTTACCTGAACTTCATTTCCAAAAGTGTTATTTATATTGCTGACTTGTAAGGTGCTGGTGGATGTCTATAAACTTAGGATTCAACGCACACGGCTAACAAAAACACATTTTCTCTATTATGAAGTATTTCTTTCATCTCTGCGCACAGAATGTCATGTAAATCATACTACCAATTGGAACCCAATTGGTATGTTCATTGAGAATAAGTTTACTCATTTGGGCGGCATTATTTGTAAGAAATTACGGATATTATTATCAATCT